AAGCCAGTGCTGGGTCATACACAACAATGGGTTCAAAGTTACAATTAAACTTAAATTAAACCTTTAACCAGCAGATTTTCTCTCCATATTTGGACCCAACAGCACATTTCTGAGTGTTTGTGTCCGTAACACAGTTTGTTTGCTCTGCTGTCCCCCAGATCGACATCATCAAATTCAACAGTGCCACTGGAATGAAGGTGTACAAGAACTATAAGGGCCGGGCGGGTCTGACGTTTGATCTGACTAAAGGAAAAGCCGACCTGCAGCTGGTGAGGGTCACCAGTGCCGACAACCGGACCTACGAGTGCCATGTGGACGTGCAGGAGGAAGAGGACGGCACTCTATCAGACACCGCCAACCTCATTGTCCTGGGTGAGATCACACACTACTGGCCATAACCTCTGTCATCTGTCTGTCTAATGAAGGCAAATAATAAAAATAATCTTAAAAAAGTCATTAAAAAGGTGAAATGTGCTGCAGATTGAGCTGTACAGATACGCTATATTACACAGATGCGGCTCACTCCAGAGCCAGTGGGTGGAGCTCGACAATCCAACCACACCCTAAAGTAATCAATCACTAAACATAACCCCACCCATTCGGTCCACAGAGGCGGAGCTGGACCAGTCCAGGCTCCGCCCAATACAGCCAGAGCTGAGCCAGGCGTTGTATATTTTTAGAAATGAGCGATGTGTGTATAACCTCCTGTGAATACAACCTCCAACCCTCAATCACAAGCCCAATTCTCCAATCATAAGGTCACAGCTAGCCTAGGCTCCACCCACTTCACTTAGAGGGGTGGAGCTTGACCATTTCTCACAATCTCATCAACGTCTGTCACAATCAGGCAGCGCAGACAACACAACAACATATGAAGAGAACAACAAACGGCTTCCTGTAGATGATGACCGCTGTTTTCTTCATCTGAGTGCTGATGTAGTTTCATTATTCTCAGTTTGTGGGTTAGGGTTGTTTCACGATAGTCATTAAAGTCTCTCTTGTGTCTCTGTTGTACACCAGTGGCCCCATCAACACCCAAATGCACTATTGAGGGGAAGACGGAGTACTTTCAGGACATCACCCTGACCTGCAAATCGGAGGAGGGAACGCCGACACCGACCTACAAGTGGCAAAGCTACGATGTGTTGAACAACCCTCGCCCAAACCCACTGAAGGCCACCGACGGTACGCGTGTACAAACCTGCTGAATCCCTGAGTTCCTGCATCAGCTATAAGTGTGTGTGTATGTGTGTGTGTGTGTGTGTGTGTGTGTGTCTCCTCAGTGAACGGCGTTCTGTCGCTCTACAACATCTCTAAGGACACGTCCGGGTTCTACGTCTGCACCTCCACCAATGAAATCAGATCTGCCAAGTGTAATCTGACTATGGCCGTCATGGCACGTAAGAATCGCAGCGCTCGCTAATGTTCCTAAACACAGTCATGCTAACGCTAAGTCACGCGGCTCTTCTGTCCTCCTCAGCGTCCATGAGCATGGCGTCCACGGCGGGCATCATCGGGGCGGCGGCGGGCGCGCTGGTCCTCCTGCTGGTCATCATCATCTGCTGCTGCTGCTGCCGGAGGAAGAAGAACAAGGAGGAGGAGTACGCCATGGGGTACGCTAGCAGAGCGCTAACGGCATGTCATAGGCACCTCAGAAGCTAACGCCAATTTCTCTGTGTTTGCAGGACTCCTGAAGATGGAGAATTCACAGACAAGGATCCGGAGGAGCAAGACGAACACGTGCGGTCTGAGCAGGAGCGTCCGGTGAAGAGCGCAGACCGCAGAGATGTGCAGGACGAGCGCAGCGAGAGGAGCTACGACCGCCGCAGTGACTACGACGACCGCCGAGATCCGAACACCAGCCAGCGGGATGATCGTGATGACCGATACAATGACCGCCGCGACCGATACGATGACAAACGCGACCGGAGTGATGACCGCCAGGAACGCTACGATGACCGCCGGGAACGCAACGGTGACCGCCAAGATCGTTACGATGACCGACGTGATCGCAATGATGACCGCAGAGATCGTTACGATGACCGCTACGATGATCGACGCGACCGCTACGATGACCGCAGAGATCGCCATGATGACCGCTACGACAGCGACCGCTACTCTGACCGCTACGACAGCCGCGACAGACCGCCCAGCGTCCCCCCAAATAAACCCAGAGATCCGCGGAATTGATTCGTTCCTCAGAAACGCAGGATATAGAGATATCTGACATCCTGAAGCAGGAGATTTCATCCTACACACATGTGCTAGTGCTGACCAACATCTCCTATCGCCATATCAATCATCTCATATCCTGAAAACCATGCGCTCAACGATATCGCCATCATTCAGCAAATTCAATTAAATAATATAATTATATATCGCGAACACACGACTGTTTCTCTTTTACATTTTAATATATTTGCTCAAATGTGATTTTCTTTCAGGGCAAATGTTCGATTAGGAACGTTTAAATATTAAATAACTATAATGACAGATAAAACACGCTTCAAAGATATTGCGAAAGCACTGCACGTTTTCCTCATGCTGTTACTCTGGCTTCTGCCTGCATCCCTGTGCTGGGTTATCCACATCCAATTGAGGAACAGGTATTGCTGTAAACGGTGTATTTGCCACACCATAAAATAAACAAGCACAACAGGAAACGCCATGTTGCTCAGCCCTGGTTGCGGTCTTTAACACTTGACTCCGATTGGTCAGTCACAAAATTCCAAGGTATGTTATTCAGAAACTTATAAGACACTTCAAATCTTTATCTTGAGCGTCAGTGAACACGTTCCTCCATATACGCTTCTGTTTCGCCGCTGTTTTTGACTGTTTGGCGCCCTCTTGTGACTGAATAATGTGCAGGTTAGTGTATACTCCTTTCAGCTGTATTTGTTTCTGTCAGCTTTGTCTTTAATAAATGAATGCTATATTTAGTCTCAGAACAATGTTTATTTGTTAGATATTTACATTTTCTGGCGAGCAGCCGTATAATAAACTGGATAAAGCACACCCAGCCGGGGGGTTTCTCAGAATAAACCCTTCTATTGTGAATGTTCTGTTGTTCCTCTTTGTTTCTGTTGTTGACGGGGGATTACCGTGAAACACATGTCTGTTAAAACTTTAAATATAGAATGAATATACCAGACTTCAGTTTATTTCTCTTTAATTTTGTTCTGTTTGTAAATGAAATATTCATCATGTGTGTTGCTGGCTGTAAGACTGGTTTAGCGGAGTTCCCGGTGCAGCTGTTTAACATTCAGACTTCTGTTTTCATCTGTGACAGACAGTGAAGCTGAGTTTTGTGGCCTGACCGACCCGTTTACTTCACTTTATATTGCGATGATGTCACAGGAAGTGTATTTATGACAGACTGCATCGATCAGCTTAACCAGATCATTCTGCCTGTATAATTCAGGGTTTTGATCTGTGCATTACTCTGTATGTTCTGATGGTGTTTCTCACGCCATGTAGTTACTGTTACTGTTATCTGATGATCATTAAACATGTTTTTACTTCATGGAAACGAGTATTTGGATTTATTATTGCCCACGAAAAATAGGAGTATATTGAAAACAGAATATAGTGAAACATGATCGACAATACAGCAGATGAAATATGCCATCATTAGTGACGGTGTTTTACATCTGACAAAGTCTAGAATCGTCATTTCCTGAGAATCGAACCCACAACCCTTGTGTATTAACACCATGTGTTCAGTAACTCACAGTAAACACACTATCTGCACGATCTGCTGTGACTCAAGGGAAGTGATGCACTGTTTAAATATTGTGTCTGAAATGGCCTGTAAGGCTGACCACAACATCAGCACTGTTTAACTGAGGGTCACCAGTGCAGACCCCTGATCGCCATCAGCTGAGAACAGGGTTCACTATTTACAGCCTGCAAAGACTTTTCCGGAAACACCTTTAAAGAAAATAAACAAGGAAAACACTTTTCTTTTCAGAAGCAGGTGAAAACCCGACTGTTCATGTTTTACCCAGATTTGTATTTTCTGAGTGAACTATCCCCTTAAATACAGCAGAGGCTGATGCACTGACAGAAACACAAGAGGGCGCAGTCGCTGAAGAGTCCAGACTGACGAGACTTATATAAAACTTTCTGCTGAGATTTACTGATTTATCAGAGGTGATCGTGCAGCTGTGTGTGTGTGTGTGTGTGTGTGTGTGTGTGTGTGTGTGTGTGTGTGTGTGTGTGTGTGTGTGTGTGTGTGTTTGTGTGTGTGTGTGTGTGCGTGCGAGAGAGAGAGAGAGCCTACTGTGCCGAGACGGAGCTCCTCCTCGGTGTGTGTCGGTAACGCGCGCGCCTCACAGTCCCGTTATTCCCGACAGCAGAACACACGGGCGAGCAGGAATGGAAAACCGGAGGAAAACACGCGACATGGCCGAGAGAACACACCGATTTCTGGTGCTGTCGGTGCTCAGATGCTGGATCTCCCTGCTGGGCTTTACAGGTGCGTCACTTTCCCCCGTCCGGAGAGTTTGCGGAGTTCTGGGCTCCGGGGTTTGTTTACAAGCTCCATCACCGGCTGCCGGTAACAAGTCCCGCTGAGATGAAGACATATTAGACACGAATGTGTTTTAAACTATTAACATGTACATATTTTACAACAGTCTGTTAATATGAACTGATGAAATACTGCAGTGTACACTAGCTTTTACTACAGTAAACTGTGCTGTACTGGACTGTAATGTTCTCTATAGAATAGTAAAGTATTGGCTCATTTGTTTACATCACTGTAGTTACTGTACTGTTGCTGATGTCTGTTTTAGTCACTTTTATTATTTGTGTTAATTTTCTGTCATGTGTTATATTTGTTCCTGCATATGTAAAACACTTTGAATTGCCAAACCCAACCCTATACAAACAAACTGCCTTACTCTAGTTACCATAGCAACTGTAGAATCACCACAACAGATTCATTTCTGTAGCTGTTGTGTTACCATAGCAACTGTAATATCACCAGGATAGATCAA